ATTCTCTTATTACCTTTTCAATCACTTTTATTTCACTTTTAAAACTTTTTTTCCTCTGACTCCATCTATTAACTTTTCACTGAACAATTTATCATTTCTATCATGGTTTTAAAATCCGAACCGGTGGTTGAACTGGTTTGGTGACCGATTCCCAGTTCTGGCGGTCTGACCGGTTCAACCGGTCACCCGCCCGGGTCAATTGAAAAGCACCTAAAATTGAAGTTTTAGGTTCTGCAGTTTTCAGCATCATTTGGCTGATGTGTTTTGCAAATTTTCCCCTGCAATTTCTAGCATTATATACTTATTTTCAATTTAAATTAAATTTAATAGATATATAAATTCACATAATAATATAAAAAATAAATCTCAAAACAAAATATATATGAAAAATAAATTTTAAAACTAAGTAAATAAATAAAAAAAGTATCATACAACTATAAATCTCAAAATTAATAAATCTTACACATATATATGAAAAATAAGTTTGAAAATTTAAATTAACATGCAAATGATGCATAAATTAAAATTGTTTATTATTTATTTAATTTATATTACAAGGACAAAATTAAAAGTGTAATTAATATATTTTTAATATTAATTATTATAAAAAAATAACAAAAAATGATATTAATTTTTCACTAGTACTATATATATTGTTTTAATTAAGTAAAAATTAAATTTTGTTTTTTAATAATAACTAATACTAAAAACGTATTATTAAAAATACATATTAAAAAACCTTTAAAAAAATATAAAAAAACTTGTGTGAGATTCATTCATAAAAATTAAAATAACTAAAAGAAAAATTAATTGTGAGGTAAATTCAAGGCGTAATACAGGGGTTGGGACAGCTTGGCATCAAAGAAAAATAGACTTGCCACAGAATTGAGTAAGAGGTGGGCCCAAAAGAAGTCTGACCAGGAGAGAGTAGGGCCCATCCTAAGCTATAGACTTAGCTATGTGAGTGTGGGAGATCGTGAAAAAAAAAAAAGGAAAACGAAGTTGCAGGCTTGCAGCGTCACGTCACCATGGAAGAATGCGCCCGGCCGGTTCATCGGGTCTACCGGGTCGGACGGGTTGGACGGTTCTTCCTGGTTTGGACGGTCCAACCGTCTAAACGGGCTTGGGTGTCCACCCGGCCCGTTTTGTCCACCGGTTGACGGTTCAACCGGTTGAACCGACGGGTCCGGTCCGATTCTTAAAACACTGATTTCTATCCTACATTCACCTTAACCTTCTCCCTCTCCCTCCATATTAATAATTTATTTATCATTATTATTATTTAATCTCCATTATCTTTCCTTACTATATTTTTTTAGTCACTCTCTATATCTTTACTTATCATTATTTATCTCTTTTTATCATAGTTTCCTTCTATCTCCTTTTATTTACATTAAAAATG